AGAGAGAGAGAGAGAGAGAGAGAGAGAGAGAGAGAGAGAGAGAGAGAGAGAGAGAGAGAGAGAGAGAGAGAGAGAGAGAGACAAAACGCTGAACACAACAGCTCTCAACAGCTCACCATTGGTCAGGGGAGAAACATAACACAAGCGGGAAGAAACATAATAAATAACTCAACGAAAGGGGGCTAAGCGCCCCTCCCCCCCCGCGCCACAACAACATCTTCTCATGCCATTTCTCCTCCGCAAGGGGCTTCGAATTTGGGAATGCAACTGCAAGAATCTGTTTTCCCATGAAGGTTTCCTTTTTTCATTTTTCAAACATTTTTTTGGAAAACATCAGCACTCGACGGTGCCAACCGATGGAGGTGGTTGGCTTGCTCCCCCGGGTCGGTATAGGTAGGGTCTTTGGCCAATGTGGGTGGGTGGGTGGGTGGGTGGGTGGGTGGGTGGGTGCGTGTGTTGTGTGTGGTATGTGCTTGAGTGCTGGCCATAGACACTGCTGTTACTCGACCAGGGCCGGAGAAGTAGATGGGAGGCACAGCTACTGGCAAAATACTCAGTCTTTCCATTAGCCGGCGCCCCCCCCCCCAATGGGCGGCCCTACCCTACTCCCTGACCATGGTCGATAAGTGCGGGGGGCAACACAAATCCCTCCGATTGTGAGATGTAGTATGCTTGCAGGGGTCCTCTGTATAGGCTTAGGAGCAGTGGTAGGTAGGTAGTGAAAGGTGAAATTGAGAGAGGAATATAGCTTAGTTTTGAGAAAAAGATTTAAAAATTAAAATCTATTTTCAGAATCTTTATTATTTTAGCCAATCATTCACAGCAGGAAAACCCCCAAAGTGCACTCTTGTTGTGGGGCTGCCCCTCACCACCAAAGGTGAAATGACGTGGGCGTGGGCCTCCTTCCGTTTCATTTGTTGGGGGAGACCCGTCGACTAAAACTCCCACAACCAGCCCTCCTCCCAATTACCGCTCCCTGCCCCCTCCAAACCCCTCCTTGAAATGCATCACCCTCGCCGTGACCGGTTGGGCCCTACCAATGACCAGCGGGGCCAACGTTGAAAAAAAAAAAAAAAAACAGTCTCAGGTGTCTAAAGCTACTGTAAACCCATCATCCCCTACCGGCTGTGAACAACAGCCGCTGCCACAACAGCAACAACACTCTTGAAGATAAACAACGACACTCTGAATAGAGGTGAGAAGAAGAATCTTAGGGTCAGGCCCCACTGATGATGCTATGTTCATGCCAGGAAAGCACGAACCTGGGAGCTATTATGGACATGTTCATGCTTGCGAAGATGAACATAGCACCAGTGGGGCTTGCCCTTAGGCATCGCACCGTTCGTAGAAGGATGGACTAGAAAGCTTGGCTGCAGATGTAACTTGGAAAACTTCTGCTGGAAGTCGGTGCGGTGTGTGCTCTTCGAGTTCTTCCTCTTTGTCCTCATCTTCCATTCCGTCGTCATCATCATCATCAGATCTTCCCTTGTAGAGGTGGTCATCCGCACGAGGGCTCCTGCATTCCAACCACAGAATGCAACACACCGTTGTAAAACATAACACACGCTAGAATTAGTCCGTCGAAGTTTTGAAACCTTACAACAAAAGGTTCGGAAACAAAAAAAAAAAAAAACAGGAACAGAAAGGAAAAAGCTCAAAAACGTTTCTGAAAAAAGCAAGGGCCCTTCATCCACCAGAAGAGTATCAATGTGGGCATAGTATGGCATACTCACACTTGGACTTCTCAACTGATTTATTGTCGTAATTGCAGTCAGATGCATGCAGATCGGGCCATAATTGCAGTGAGATACATTCAAGAAAGTGCTACTAGCGGTGTGAGCATGCCCTGAACGCTGCAGAAAATGAGTCACGCCGTTCAATTATTAGTTATTCCCCAAAAGACCAAGGGCATGCACAGCAGTTCTC